AGACGTGCCCAGTTTCCTCGACTTGGAGGTAAAACTTTCTCGCCGCTCTTCAAGGGGCCGTACTATCTCCATACCTCTTTTCCACCTACATCACCTCTTTATCTGCCCCTTCCGATGCGATATTGTTGAAGTAAGCAGACGACGTAGTCTTGGGAATGCAACAACCGACCGCAGGCACATCAACTAAACTACAAGCCTATCTGGACAGCCTTGTATTATGGTTCAGATCTCACCTTTTATTCTTAAATGCATCAAAATGCAATAACATCATTTTCTCCCTACATAACGGCCATAATTATCAGCAACTTCTCATGGAATACCCCGAACTTCACATAGATGGCGAGAATTTGCACTCTAATGCAATGAAGTACCTGGGTGTAACACTCTGTCGTGATCTTTCCTGGTCACTCCATGTTTCCCGCCTCTTAATTCTGTGACTTATCACCGCATGTGTCTTACCTCTTTGAACCTATTGCTCCAATGTGATGTTCGCTGGTTTCCCAAGGAAACACTTCGAAATCCTAGGTAGGTCAATGACGCAATCGTCTGGGTAACTGGAATCCCCAGTCTGACATTTGTTGAGATTCTCGTGTCCACTCACACCAATTCATGCATAATGGCTTGCTTCAAAAATACTTACTGATACAAGTCACTCTCTTCATGACGCACTGTCTGAGTGTGCATCAACATCCTCAACCAACCAAAAGTATAGATCCATTTTTGCCCGCATACGGGCTTACCACTCCTCCTTTATCCCATATTTGGTACGTTTTTACACTACCGGACATGAATTTTCCTGGAGCTGAAAACCAATTTTGCATCATAACCATACTGTTGTTTGTGCTTCTTTTTACTCTACTTGTGTATTTACTGCTTTATTTCTTTTACTATACTGAAAGCGTGTGTGTAACAGCTGAATATTCATCCATACGGGTGTATAAAGCACTTTCTTGAATTGTATTGAACCTCCACACTTTGCGCTTCCGGCGCATTTCTGTGTAAACAAAATACACAGCTTTTCAAATATCAAGCTACCAAGTATGGCTTCCAACTGACACATGTACATACTAGCGGCGTCTTAACACGCAGTATTTATTGTGGCATTGTATTGAGGGAGCTGCCCGACCGAAACGTGCTGTGTGTGAGCTAAACAGATACACAATAGGATTCACAGATTGATGTGTTTCGTTCATCATCACTTACCTCAACGTTGCAGCGATGTGAGGTCATTTGTAATGAGGTAATGCAGTGTCAAAGGTAAGAACCATGACCTGACTCAAATTGGCAAACTCACCGACCTACCCGAAGGAATTGGTTCTGAGATGCACTACAATGTTCTGCTTTTTTCTGACGGCGTATATTGCTGACAGAATGGTGGAGTCGCAGTGGGGTCCCTACTCGGACTAATTCTGGCTGATGTTTTTCTTGCTCAACTAGAAGTTAAATTTTTGAACCAATTTCCTATCTATATCTGGACATCTTATGCGTGAGCGAAGAGCTTATTGGCTTGGAACATATAGTGGTAAAGTTCACTAGTGCGCGCTCGGCACTTAATTTCACCTACGAAGTTAAACAAGAGGACCAACTTTGCTGTACACCTGAGCATGCGAATTAATGATTCCCTACTAAGGTAGATCAACAGAAGGAAAACGTGGACCGGACATTATACAAACTTCGGTAGTTTTTTTTACCGCTTACATACAAGCACAACCTAGTACATTGTCTCAAGGGCAAGAAATATGTGCTCACAGGACGCTCGGCAGGATGAAACGTTTTGCGTAAATGGTTACCCGGAAAGATTCATCCGGCGCAACTTGCAGCTCGAAACAATATCGGCCACTGAGGAAGTAGTCGAAAACAAAGCTTTCTTCATCCACTTTAGTTCTAACGGTGACAGTTGCTGGGCTTAAAATAATAAAATTATCACAATTGATAAGAAACACCTTTCTGGCTGCGAAATTGACGTGTATCTTCGCCACGAACCAGCTAATTCCTGTGTGCAACATACATCATTATACACGTTAGCTGCAGGTGGAAAACACCTCACCTATTGTGCCGCACCTGTCTTCAACAAAGACGGACTGCCAAAGCTTCCGTAATCAGTCAGTTTGAGCGCACATGGGGTACAATATTTATTGGTCGAACGGCTCGTCAAGTGCCATGTCGCATTCAAGAATGGCCTCAAATGGTTGGCGAACGGGAGCATCGGAGTTTAACCAAGCTATATTTTTCCACCTGTTCGAATTAGATCATTGGTTTAATCTCCCGTATGCATTTATTGTGGTTTATCAGGTTCATGCTGAGGTCGACGTTGCATACATCATGCTTCTTCACCGCAGTTGGACTGTGCTGACATACACTTAAACTAGATCTCCCTACTTTTGCTAAAATTATTCCACTATATTTGATTTGCTCAGTTCTGTTACTCTGCTGCATATTCCATTTGAATTTATTCATTATTTTCCTTCACATTTTGTGTGGCTGCGCTTGCTTTGAACGTTGCAAAGATGCTTACCTCTTTAACACCCTCCACCTGAATTACTGGTCCCATGGTACCGCTACTCTTTACTGGCTGTTCAGGGTGCGCTGGCCTCATGACCGTGCTAGGCTCAAAGAATGGTTCCATCCAGCGTGGAATGAACTACGGTCCAGCCACCGTCTCTTGTACGCGAATGCTGGTGTGCATGTTGAAGGAGTGTGGGCCAGCTCCGTTGATGAAACGTGGCTCCCATCCACATGCCTCCCGGTCTTATTCCTTCGGGTTTACACTGGATATGGAGTATGTGATTGGAGCTGTGGGTAGTGCAGCGCCATGGTCCCTCTGTAGGCGCAGGCGTCCTGTAACTATCTCCATGGAAACTGCGGTGACAAGCAAATTCGGAATCCAATGTTGCCACCCCTATATGCATTTCTTGGTTCTGTAAATGAGCCAGTTCCATCACGTCGCAAGTGCAAGTAGGGATCAAAGAATAGCTTCTATGTGGAAGACTGACGTCTGTTACGTGGATATGATCATCCGGATGAATGGTGCTTATGTGAAATTATTATTGGGAGAAGACATAAGCTATTAGATTGCGAGAAACTGCCGCATTAACATCCTTGATAAGTTTGTGGCTGGTTGCAGCGGAAATCAAATCATTGGGTTCTACGGAAGTGAAAGTATTGGAACAATTTTCTTCCTATGTAACGCTGCATGACGAAGTTTCGGCGATCGGCTTCGTAGAACGGCTGTAGGAATAGAAGAGTCCATTGCTAACGTCAGTGCAGGTAGGCGTCAGTTCTACCGCTTGTTGGCTGAAACTGTTCTTGATGAAGAACGCTCGCCACTGCAGAGGATATTGCGATTCGAATGTCCCAACCCCTGTGGTGTCCGCAAAATTTTGCTTAATTCCTCTTTCTGCCATGGCCTCGCAGCCATACACCTAACCACCACTCTGGCATCGGTTCCGGCATTGTGATTGCGTAATCCACAATCGATCTGTGTGAATGAGACAGCTGCAAACTATTTGCTCTCCAACCGTTTGCCTACTTATTTTAGAACAAACCTCTGAGCCAATCACCTTAAATGCGTTGTACCTGCTCGTGGTTGAAGACCTTGTTTGCGTCAGACTGGTCTTCCCTAAAAATTACCGGGAATGTCCAACATAATGAAGGTGACATGCAGTACCATATGTAAATTATGCTAAAACCTCACATGTTCCATATTCTATAAGCATATTTGGGTACAGCCAGATAGCGCTTCACCAGTCTACCATCTGAATGGACATACGCAACGGATTTCGATAGAATTCATGTTGTGCAAACGCATTTAACTTGTCTTTAAGACATGTACAACAGTTACCATATACTACCGAATATAACCCGATGATTTTTGTACAATTGTTATTTCTGTAGAGGGCCGGCTCATAAAAAGGTTGTGCACAATTTGAAAAAGTCAAAACCAAAATCCACCTAGGAATTCATTGCACACTTCTGCCCCGATCTCCCCTTGCACCACCCGCTATTGACGGGAATTTGAAGTGCCTCATTTTTTCGTACGGTGTCCACCTAGCTCTGTGGGCAGCATGCCCATAATTATACGCCTTATTTTTGTGGCGAACACTTTCGGTTTATTGTACCGGCGTTCGCTACTACTGACAGTAACAGCAACATATGGGAATATACAGAATCAAACACAATCACGCACAGTAACATGGGAAAAACATGACAGAAAAGCACTAACCGGTAGATCATTCGGAGTTCGGCTAATATAGGAACTTGTGACTGGACAAATTTGATATTGCAATCTTATACTGTCGGCCTACTCATGAGCTTGCTTATATTCGGTAATATACAGTATTTCCTCGAATTGTCGAGTTCGGTATATTTTTATTTTAACGTACGATTTCGAAAGTTTCCTATTTTAGTGATACATTTTTGTTTTCGGCCGTTATTTCTGAATGTGGTTCATGGGAACGCATCAGCATGTTTATTAACTTATACGCAGCCATATGCACCCACATCTTTCACGTTGGCAGACATTCACTCACCAGAAATGTCCATTTTTACCAATCTTCATTTATTGTGACGGAGTACTTATTTGCCTCTCCACACTAGATTGTGTCCGCTTAGTTATACGCATACGAAACCATTTTAAAATAATGTAAAATATTTGGTACTCGCAGGAAATGAGACGTTTAACGCTTATATGACTGGAATTACCCACTTTCCGTCCAATATTTCTATTTGAAGTTTCGTGTTGCAGTCTGGTGAAACGCTGCCATACAGCCGGCGGGCCTGATGAACTCATGTTACAGGCCAGATCCATCCCGCGGGCCATAGTTTGGTAATCTTTGCCTTACATCGTTACATCTTCTCGCAACCTTATCACTTTGAAACATCTTTGCATTCTGTTTCACCTAGGATATATCCTTAATTTCCTCTCGCAGTCGGTCTGTGTTTACCGTAGAGTTTACGATGTCATCAATGTTACTTTTATTACCTATTTGACATTTTTCCAGGAGCACATCACGGCGGCTAACGTCTGTACGGTGCTGGATCGTAGTATGTTTTTCGAAGAGGATGATCTCACTCGTCGCTGTTGGCATGTTATCGATGTCTTGGTACGTTTTTCACACCGACTAGTTTTCAAACGCTGCTGTCTGCCCTACTGTTTGTTTTTAATCGTCTAACTTTTTGGATTTTATAAAATCTAAACAGTTATCTGCGATTGCCTTCACTTCGTTTTTGTTAGGTAACTTGTGGCTTTCATTATTCGAGTTGAGTGGATTCAATTTGTGCTGGTTTACAGCTTATGCAGTTGTCGATCTAACTTTCACCCCAGCTCCTGTAGACGAATCTTTTGAGATCCATTCCTGTTGTAACCAGTCAGCAGCTTATGCCACTGGGCCACGGGGGACATCTGGACCGTCATGATTTACAAGCTAACTGCGATATGGCGCGTCTTATTTCCCACTGCCGAGTTTACCGCGCGAAGTGCGGCGTAGTGGTGTGAGCAGTTCTTGTGAGTAGGTAACACACTGAGTATCGTTCAACTATCAAAAATGCTATGCAATATGAATCGGCCAAACATGACTGAGGCGCGGCGGTGATATCACATGAACACGTTTAGTATTCATAGAAGTGCATGCATACGAAAACCGTAATTAAAGTTAGGATGGGCGTGTGGATTATTTGGGTGCTCAAATTCGAGTGCCGTTGACGAGCCGGGTGAACTAACGTCGCAGCCCAGATCCGGCCCCTGGGTCGTAGTTTGGTGATCCCTGGTATATGGCAAGCACAAAAATGAGAGTTAGCGACATAAATTTACACTATGGCTATGTTGACCCATTAGTGAATGAATTTTCCGCTAAAGTGGCACTAAAGTGCGCATCAGCCCTGCATTTAAGTGCTCTCATTCCCATTTATAGTCAAATGCAGCAAGATTAAGAGCTGACATCCTCGGCTCTTCTGTTAACGTGGCCTGTGCATGTAACCCAGACACTTGTAGCTGTTCTCACCATACTTATGTGATTAGGTAGTGTTGAACTTCTTCAAACGTTGCGCTGCGTGAGACATTACATTCTGTTGGAAAAAGTTTCTGCTCCTTGAATTGTTTGAGGATAGCTGCACTAGTTACAGCCTCGGCTTTTTCTAACTGATATTATGAAGGGTAATATATGCGAAGGAACCAGGCCGGAATCGTTCCCACTCCTGTTTGACGATGCTCGCGTTGGTCATATGGTCGTCGGCATCACGCTTGGGCATCTGGAGACATCGGAATCGGGAGTTGAACAGTAAAGACTGTTCACCAAAAATCTGCAACAAAGTCCGAGCTTTCTCACAAAAGGTAACATCTCGGGGCTTCTTCGGCAACATGAAACTTGTGTGGTCTTGGTATTCGTCGGTGCTCAGTTTCCGAGAAAACAGCCGGACTACCCATGCATCATCCTGGGCTGCCAGCTCAGTAGTGAACAGGTTCCCGTCCCACTTATAACAAGTTGACATTTGATTCGTACAGGAACTCAGAAATGCAGTCAGCGATCTTACCTACCTGTCGGTTAATACGGACATCATTTTGAATTGTAGCTGTAGTATTTGTTTCAAATCAGCGTATTCATCTGTCATGGTTGGAAAAATCTCCTTTGCCATTTTGTTGTATACCTCTCTTTTGTTGGATACACCTAAGTGGACGTTCGTTTAGTTCATTTCCACGCGTAGGATAAGCGATTAAGCAATTCGGATCGACTGCACGATAACGCCTGTGCGACACCTATCCGCCGTATTAACAATGATGGAAACTACCATTTGAATGCTGCACGCGATGTGTTACGGACGTGCCCTACGACTGCACTATGTACCAGAAGAGAGAAGAAAGTAAGCTCTGTGGCACAAGCGCTCTTACTGACTCCGCAGAAACGTGATGCAGGTTGAGACACTCTCTTAGTTGTATCATAAACTCCTCGCTACGCCTGGCGTGAGTTTTGGCGGGACGAATTGGTCCACAAAACCCTGCTGCGTCATGGTATGGAAGTAGCATTGTCACACTGTGAGTACCATACGGCGTAGCCCTTTGATTGCACATCCGGGTATTGGAGTCCGTGCTACGGGTGCTTATATTTACGGAATCACAACATTTCCGCAACAATCTGCTACTGACTAACTCAAGAAGCGACACTTCTTAAGGAGTTAGTACCTAAAAGAGCAAACAGGCGGATCAGCCTGCCTAAGTAATGCAATTTGATCCGCTCACTATCTTGAAAGTGTCATCCCTCTGATAATTGAAGTATTATGTAACTGACACTATTGGGATTGTGGTCGTAGAACCCAGTGCTTTTTGTCTCGCTACATAATCCATCGCAACACGATTCACTATCGTACTTCGGAAGACGGACTAGTTCTCTACCTCATAACCTGTTTTCGTCCATTTTCAAATACTTTCCATCGGTCACGATCTAATTCAAGACGGTTTTGACGCCTGTACCATGGTTGTCTCAGGCCAGCTGAGAACTTACTGGCGATTACACTATGTGTCTCCCCATCGAAGACTCATTGCCCACTAACCTGTGGCTCTTTTTTCATATTTATGTTTTTGACACGGAAGCTATAAAGTTCATTCCGACACCAGAAATGAAAAACTAGAGCAAGTGTCACGACTGGTGATCGTTTGTCGTTCCAATTAACCTACACCACATCACGGGAATTACCCGATGGCACACATTTATCGGCAACCCCTTGTCGCTGTACTGGGGGAAAAGCTGTACCAATTCCTATCAGGATGAACTTAAGACAGTATTGCATATTTACTTTGGACAATCGCTCCGCTCAGTAAGAAAAATCTAGGTCTATTTGCTTCCAACTGCAATTCTTCATCACACACACCATTTCATTCAGTTAATTTCCTTGGCATCTACGCCTATTTTACTGCACACAGGCAAATTGCAAATCCGTTTAACCGAGTTGCCACTTTACTAATCTTGACTATTTTTATTAAGGCTCCTCATGTCCTCACCTCACCGGGATTGATCAAAATGGAAGCGGCACGGTTCAAATCTCTGCTCAAGCGCGACACGCTCAATTGCAAGGAGGCAGAAGTGTTCGCTGCAGTTCGACGTTGGGCTGAGGCTGAATGCACTCGTCGAGGGATCGGCGTTTCACTTACCAATCAGGCTAGAGTAGCAGCTGAATTTCTATATCTCGTACGATTTCCAACAATGACGCTGAATGAATTTGCTGAAAATGTGGCCTATTCTGGATTTCTGTCTTTAGAAATGGTAAGTTTGGTTCGTTTGGGAAGGCCGAACTGCAACTTATAATCTTAGGGGTACTCATCGATTAAGGTTTTCTAATGAGTAGGAGGATTTTGCCTGGTTTATTTACAAAGATCGTGCTGCATTGTGTCCACTGACCTCAGTTAGTCAGGCGACTACCATTACTTGAAAATAATGGTAAGATGAAGAAAGATGGTAGATGCATGCTTTCTGTATTGCTGCTCAGTACCAGTAACAACAATGATGCCAGTAATTGGTCTATCCTCAACTAGGTGAGACGCGGCCCAGCAAAGCTGATCCGATCATAATCGATATGCCTAGGTACTTGACACGTGGTGCAACCAGCAGGCTTGTAGTGCAGATTGAATGACGGAATTTCAACCCCTACGTCTAGGGCAGCCTAAGGCTGACGAACGATTGTCTTGGAACACACAGGACTTGCTTTATCCGGCTTATTACGGCGGCACTGGCAAATCGAATGAAGTGGGGATGAGTGGGACGCAACACCACTTTAACGCTGAGTTCAGTTTTCTCCGGTGACTCGAGACCAGTTGATGTTGGCCTGGCGAGGAATACGGCAGTCCACATTGTGTGCGCCCATAGTTTTAGTGCAACGACTGCTGTGCGTTTGCGCAGACAGTTCTACCGAGGTGCTGATTCCCGAATCCTTACTTAAGTAACCGATTTACATTGTCTTCAAGATTCCAACACATCACCTAAATCGTATAGCCGCGGGATAAGATGGCGTAGTTTGCTTGCCAACGGTGGTCTTAATGACTTCATTCAGGCGAACTCCTACCACTAGTTAATTGTGATTATTATGCGTGGAATCTGTGAATTTCACCCTACCACGGAAGTCCGGAAACACATTCCAACTTCATTTACTGGTTGACAACTTAAGTGGCTCACTAGAACCTTCAGCTATCATCAAGTTAGCTCACAAATTTCAGCCTGAATGTTGGCGTTTTCACATCCTGTAAAGCCTGCTAGCAACAAACTACTTAGTTGCCGAGGCACTGCGTTCACCTCAAGTTAACCGTTATACCCTCGACAACAGGATGTTCTATGGAGTCAATCTGTGTTTGCAATTTCTACTCTACTCTTTATATTCGTCTTCGTAAAATGTACGACTAAGGGCTCACATAGTATGTGAGCCAGTGATGTTTTTCTAATGTATTCATATTATTGCAAATAAAAACCTGTTTTCCGACACTTCTATTGGCGTACCGCGGAGGTTCCAACTTTACTCATTTGCTTCGATGCATTCGTTTAGCCTTTGTATACTTCATCCCAACGTGTACGTTTTCTTATATTCCTTGAATCCACAACTATTTATATTAGTTCCATTACTTGTCGAGATGCCTACATTAACTTCCACTCCTCTATCGGTTTTTCGACGTTCCAGCGCTATTTTTCCTACGGGAAATGAATGCTCTACCTATGGTCTTTCAGTCGCTCGTCTTACTCTATGTTATAACTGAAGGCCTCTTCTGCGTGCTTTTTCGTACAGGTGAGAGACCTGTTCGTGCATATCACACAGCAGCCGAACGCATCACCAATTTGTCACAACAAATCGGACCACCAACTTTCCACTGTTTTCGAAGCTGGTAAAGACAGCGGGTTGACTACATCACGGGATCATCCCAAACACGGTGGTGCATGTGTGCGGGCGACCGACTTATTCTCCTTCGTTCCACGAGTTGGCCCCAAGCTGTGGCGCTGTTCGCGATTTTCACGCACGGGGAAACATTCGGTCAGCTCGTCCTTATCTAACGGACATCAACACAGCCTCAGTTTTCGTGTAAGCATGCAATTTTCATTTCCATTAACAGCATTATCATGGGTTTACTATTGGGTACATTTATTTTGAATATGCTTCGTGGCTAAATCTTTACTATTTTGAAATATGGTGTATTGCATAGCTCCTCTTGGGTCATACAAGCGGATTCTTCCGATATCATTTGCTGAAATGAGCGTGAGTTTAATTAATCAGACCACCGCACACAGTCTACCCTGTCAAATGTCACAATGCACACAGTCTGCTTGTTAATTAATGATTCCCTCACAGGCTGTTAGAGACATCTTCAGCTCCATATTTACCTTCTGACACATTTGATGTTCCTCTGAATACAGTAGAATAAATACCTACAGCCATATGTACATTTTATTTGTGATTCTTTTCACGTGCAGGATTTGGAGTAGACATTTTGTAAAATGTGCGAAACAAGTGCCTTATTTATCTCCTAGTTGTGAAACCAACATTTTTTGATTGTTTACTAATTGGACGCGGTGTTCGTTCATGGCAACTACGTTTTCGGGTAATCTGTAACATGCAGGATAGATAGTGTTTTGTATTACAATACTGCCCTAAAGAACTGAGTGCTTTGAACAAGAGCGGCACCAATGAACGAAAATGCCACGCATGATACTCAGTTATGCTTCTAAATATGGCAATCAATTAGCTGCTTACTCCATGGAGTGCACACACTTTTCGCAAGGCCGCATAACTATTCTGTACATTAACTACAATTCAGTTAATAATAGTTGCTTTCTTTCTGAGTGTCTTTTGACCCCGATGGGGTGATTAAAGTGCGGCCAGGTGCTTGCATCGTGTCTGAGCAAACCAGAGTCAGAACAAGACAGTACTTGCTGCAAATCCTCATCATGTACCGCTTCCCAGTGGAGTTCTTACCCTGCGTGCTTCAATGTAGAAGATGGCTACGCCTCGTTAATCAATTCCTGTATTTTATTTGGTTCCTTCGCTCCAGTTTGTAATCTTCAATCAGCGCTTGCACTCTAAATGTTATGCTACCCTCCAAACTCGTAAGACCGCCAAGTACTTATGTTTCACATTAATCAGTTGAATACTTGGGCTCCAAAGAAAGCTGTTGAGCACGGCACCCAATTCTTGCGAGTAGGCGATGTTGAGTTCTTGGATTCTGAAGGTTGTTGAATACTTTGACAGTAAAATGCGCTTGGAAGGTCCGAGTGACGCGGTTCCACCGGGATCAAAACAACAACAAAGCCAGAACTGGATAACGGTAACATTTACAAACCAATAAGTGAACATTAATCATACATGCCTCAATAATGATGCTTCCAACTCAAATCAGCCATATATATATATACTACTTACGCTTAAACTAGGTATTTTCAGGCTGGATAAATTTCATTCCACTTTAATTGGTTCGTTCTGCCTACCTGAATAATCTTATATTAACTTGCACACGTTGCTTACACTAATTGCGCTTATCTTTGTTAGCTTTATTGCTTTTGTAGCATATTTCGAGTAACTTGTAGACATTTTTATTATCGCTTATTCGTTGCTAACCAACTCACTTCATATGTTAATTTAGCGAAGTTATGTCTGCATAGTCATATGCTTTAACAGATACATTTTTGATAATGTCAATTCAAGTGATTGGCTGTTGCTTGATGTGCATGTTCACAAGGTGCCTACCTGTCTCTTGCTCACTACCTCGTCCATACTGGCTCTAGGAGGCAGTTTGTCGTTGCTAGAGGGGACGGGGTGCGCGGTCCTTGTGGCCGTGGTTCCATGCACTCAGTGTGGAGCGGACTACAGTCCAGCCATCGCCTTGTGTGCACTTGATTCCCCAAATACAGCGTGCTTTTGTTTGCATGTGAAGGAGTGTGGATCGGCTCCGTTGATGAACCGGAGCTCCCATGCACATGCCTCCCGGTCTTATTCCTTCGGGTTTACACTGGATATGGGTGTGTGGTTGGAGCTGTGGGTGGTACAGCGCCAGCCACCCATAGTCCGTCCGTAGGCGCAGGCGTCCTGTGGCTGTCCCTGTGGAGGCCACAGTGACAGGAAAATCCGAAACCGGATGCCGCCAACCATATGTACTACGTGTTCGTTTTCGTGCGATGTGCGTTGCATAAAAGACTCTACAAACCACTGTACTCTGCTTTTTCCACGTGGCTGCATTAAGCAGGTGCATGTTCTGCGCTAATCAAATGTGGGCCATCGAGGTCGTCCAAAAAAGCTATAACCGCTTTCTGCCTCTATATCCCACCGGATGTTCAATTCATCATTGGGCAGCAGACTATTGTAAATTATCAACCTCACGAGTCCTTCATGAAAACAATCGATTGGTGTGACCCTATCACTGGGCTTAGCCTCACTACTCCTTAAAATTCTATCGGTCCGGGTCGGCTGCAGTAAACTCACACCGTCAATTGCCGTTAACTGGGCGATTTCCGTACCCACTCCAATGTTCACCAACGCAAGCAACCAACCGATTGGTTTAGCTGTTTCGGTTGCGGTCTTAGGTGTCGTGTAACTGTCCTAGAGTCAAAAACCATGTCAAGGCTGTGATCAGAAATATGCTATTCTGTAGTAGGAGTTTATTCTACTGTGTGTAAATTTGAATCCCTGTCCGATCGGTTAGCCACCGTTTGACCATGTGGTTTTTATTGGAACGATCAAGTGTTACCACATCCTCCGTTTGTATAGCTTCAGCTGTTCGACCGATGCCGCGAGTTCCCTATACCAGCCTGTTAAGTACTTTCCTTCGGATTTCTCCCCTTCTCCTTTACGTTATGTTGTCGCTTTTTTCTTGGAATACCGTCTGATTACTTTGCGATTACTTTCTCAGATAAATGCAGTTTCGGTAATACTAGTTGAATCCACACCTCTTTGCCAATCCGGTACGGTTACAAGCGATTTGTCCTACTCTCATCATACTGATACTGGCGAAGCATCCTTTTTGCAGGCTTATCTCCTATCAACGCGGATGACTTTACCTCCGGTTGAAGCGGACTTTCGGATGTGGTTCTGTGGCTACCTAACCGCCAGTCGGAGATCTCCTGATATCTGGCGATGGAACGTTTTTCGTTCCACAAACATAATATACGGATTTTCGCGATATAGAAGCAAATGTTGGTAGCTCAGGTTGTTTAGTTGATTGGCTGATTGTTCGCTGAGCTCGGCAGGTTGATTGCAAACGTTTCGTCACCACTCGAGGTGACATCGTCAGTGCGAGTGTATTTAGCAGTATGGCGCGTACGAGGCGCCTCGTACGCGCCATACTGCTAAATACACTCGCACTGACGATGTCACCTCGAGTGGTGACGAAACGTTTGCAATCAACCTGCCGAGCTCAGCGAACAATCAGCCAATCAACCATACGGATTTTCCTTTGACTCCTTGGCTTTAGTTAGTATTCGCGCTACTGCTTTCACTGGCGCTTTTGCATTCCTATTCGACCGGGTATGTCAGGAGCTTTTAAGTCTGCGAGCAAACTCATTTCTTGCTAGAGGTTTGGAGTTCCTTGGCTGTAAATTGCGGTCCGTTATCAGGTATTTCGTGTCCGGCAGGGTGACAATGCAGCTTGCACATTACGGCTTAAGCATTAGTCCAAGTCAGGGCACCAATCTCAGAATGATCACTGAACTACTTCACTTTGATCAGTGAATTGTTTCCGTCATACAAGAAGGGGTCTAAAGCCACTTTCTGCTACGGTTTTTCTGGAATCTCTCAAAGTGCGATTGGCTCGGTTATTTGGCGAATGTCATGCGTTCTGCAACCAAGCACTTCGACTAGTCCCAAATGCTACTGGCCATTGCGGGCTAAAACATCAACTCCCTGGTTCACGCGTCGCAGTTGTCACTTCCCCGATGTGAGTTGTGGATCATTTCTAGCTGTGCAGTGCAAACGCACTGCATGGCTTCCGGGATTAACGTTCGATTACCTTTGAATATCAGACCATCTTGCAAGATGAGCGCATCACGAAATAGAAAACCGCTGGCAACTTCATCTTTTCTTCCGGTCGCCCGTTAACTTTTGCTCACACCGACAGTATACAAGTAATATATTTCTGTACACTATAACCTTTGTAAAAGAATCTTCGTTGACAGCGATTTGTTTTGATGACTGTGTCTGGGCCCTTCTTTACTCTGTACGCATCCGGAAGATGAACTCTTTACAGCGTGTCGGCGATGTGACGTCACGAGCCGGCTTGCTAGATGATATTCAAGTCGTATTTCTGGTGACGTATGGGCATTATATGTAGGTGACTTGGCACCACATGAAGTGGCTTGTTGTCGTTCTTTTCAATGGTTTGTAGTCAATGAATACTGTAGTTTTCCGTCCTAATTCGTAATCATTGGAACGCTCAGTAGCATACTTGACTCTTGACTTGCGCATATCGGCACTCGGTTGGTGTCAGGGCCCCGACTTCGAAGGCCTAGTGTTGCCTGTTTTACATCAGCATATCCAACGCTGATGTATTGCGACCAGCTCACAAGCTGCATAAACGTCTGTTTTGATATCTGCTGTCCATTGGAAATCGTTTTCATCCGTGCGAATCGCTTTTCATCTCCATGCCTAAAACGCTTGTGTAGGCTCAAAGAGAAAGCGTCCAAAAGGAATGACCACGCTGTAGTTAAATTTGCCGAGAAGTCTGGGGGGTGCTGAAACAACTTAGTGGAGCCTCTCGCCAAAATTCGCATCTAGACATGTACCATGAAGTATTGAACCGACACTTCGTCGAGGCTAACTCTTCTTCCCCTCGATTCGCTCGGCCGACAATCTGTTTATCTGCCATTGATAGAAATACAGTGCACAATAAACTGCTGCAGCTAAATTCCAATAAAGCAATTGACCCGGACGGATTATCTCCCCTTGTCCTCAAGGCATATGCCAATTCCTTGGCTCAGCCTCTTGCTGACCTGCACACGTTACACATGACAATGAAAATTGCTGACTGTTGTTGAAGTGCTAGAATTACACCAGTACCAAAACAAGGTTTATATAACCACCGGACAATTGCCTTCATCTCAGTAAACATTGATGGTCTTCGAGAAGATTACACTTGAGAAGATGCTGACTCTCACCCATTCTGATGATCCGCTCCATTTTGCTTATCGTAGTTCGTGGTCTACTCAAGGCGCATTAGCGTATTTTGTACATTCAGTGCTGGCGTCACTAAACAATGATAACAAATCCGTGCGAATCTTTTCTCGACTACAGTAACGCTTTTAACACTAAACCGTGAGCTTTTGAGAGACCTACATGATACCGGATTTAGATCTTCTACTATCCACCTTCTGAGGGATTATTTCGCTGGACTTGCCCAGTTTACTCGATTTTAGGGTATAAGTTCCTTGCTGCTCACCAAAGCCACCGGAGTTCTTCAATAACCTATCTTGTTTCGATACCTCTTCTCCTTTTACGTCGCATCATTACCTGCACCTGATGAATCGATATTGCTGAAATATGCAGACGGAGTGGTATTAGGTATCCAACATTTGAGCACAGCCACATCGGCCATACTACAGGCCTATCTATAGACAACATTGTATTGCGGTCCAAAGCTTACATTTTATCTCTGAATGCATCAAAATGCAATGACGCTCTATTTTCCCTACACAAAGGTAGTCCTTATCAGCAACTTCTCGTGGATTACTCTGAATTTCATATAGATGGTCAGATGTTGCACTCAACTGTGTGTGCAAAATATCTAGATGTCAATCGTTCCAGGTGAATGAAGTATTTACAAATGTCAGGAGGATTTTGATTGATTTGTCTTTGTATGTAGTTTAGCCATGATCGCTATAAAATGCCAATGTTTAGATAATTCACTTCGCCTGATGAAGCATTTGTGTCAAATGCGAAACGTTGTGTATCACCATAAATACATTAACCGGTCGTTTACCAAGTTTTCTGAAATGATGTCAGGAGGATTTCTTTCTACGCTGCTCCTTTACGTTTCTCCTGTCTCCCACTACTTACTACTGCGATTTATCACTTTTTGTGGCTTACTCCACTGGACCTATTGCTCCCCTGTGATATCTCCTAAATTTCCTAAGGAAACATTTCAACATCGTATATAGGTCATTGACTCAACTGTCTCAATGTAGTGACATTCCAAGGCTGACCTTTGTTAACATTCTTGTGTATACTCATACCAGTTCATGCAAAATGATTGCTTCAAAAACATTCACCTATTCAATTCACCCTCTTCATGATACACTGTCTGAACGTGTATCAGCTTCTTCAACCGGACAAAAATATAGATCCATTTATACATGTACAAGTGTTTATCACTGATCCACAATTCCCTACGAGGCGCGTCTTTTTGCGACCTGATCTCAGTTGTTCTAGAGTTTACAAGCAATTTTGCGGTGCGACTATGTGACTTATTATCCTACTTACTTGTTCACTGTTTTGAGATTTTAAAATCGGATGGCATACGTGTAACAACTGAATATTCACCCTTCTGTGTGCATAACGGTTTTTCTTGAAGTGGATTGATTCCGTTTCGAATACTCTCGCATTGGATCTCAAGAGAGACTAACGTATTGTACTAGACAGGGACTAAAGCATCTGTGATCAAGTTTTCATTTCTTGAAGTTTCTTCGTTGTATGTCAGTTTGCGTATGGGCATCATTACTTCTGCAAGTCTTGGTGAAAAGCTATTCGGCTGTTTGCCCATTCCGTTCTACTGACTGATTCTTTTCCTTATTGTCCTTATCTTTTTGCACCCGGCTTCAAACTCTCGGAACTAAAAGTTTGCTTTGAAACACCACCTCCAGTCTGCGCAATTTGATTTTCTCGCGTTTCAGTATAATTTTTCGATCTACACAACGTTGGAGAAACTTATAAAGATTGCGATCATGCTCCACTCGAGTACAACCAAAAGCCAGCACGTCTTCAGCGGCACGAATTGCTCCAAAGCTTGTACTAGGTGTTTGTGGAAGATTTCGCTTGATATTTTCAATCTGACAGGCAGTATTATCACCGGATTTGGCCAAACGATGTACCGGATATTGTCAAGTAACTCGATTCGCCGTCTAGCACCCAACAGCCTCCATTGGTAATGGAAACAGCGTTATATTCTTGTTCCCGGACATGCAACAGCCCCTGATAGAGTGCCTCCTCGGAGGTTACTCGACAAATTGCAAGCAATAGGCATCGGAGAGGCGATGTTTGCTTGACTGTCCTCATATATATATATATATATATATATATATATATATATATATATATTACTGAGCATCAATCTGTTAACCTGTTGATACAACACCTGGGCGCAGAGAGTCAGACGCATTTCGATGCACTACGGTTCTATGAAAACCCTTCCCTGTCAGACTCTGAAATACCTTGGTGGTCTCTGGGGCCTACAACAACATGTGTTTACTGTACGACCAAATTTTCTCAACTACAGCTGGGAGAAGAACGTTTTAACTATTTCATTGCCAGTATACACCAGTCCCTGTCTGATTGCCGTTATAATGAAATTTCCTCCACGAACTTTGAGGCGGTCATGGATATCCAGTGTCTTTTGGTTGATATTCACGACAAGTTCAGATAATGACTTCTATCCGTAAACAAAGGTAAGCTTACTTAAATAACTAAATGTTTACTTCCCGGCAGTGCGGGGCAGACCTCCGAAGGTATGATCATGATAATACAAACAGGTATGGACCGTGTTTGTATAAAAGTGACATGTTAACCAGTAAGATACTGCGTTTGTGTGTTTTTATATATGTAAGTGTATGTGTTAGTATTCATGATGAGTGAACTTATGAAGTCTTAATGAGTTCGTGAGTTTGGTTGCTGTGTTTGCATCATATGAAGGAACCAATGGAGCTCTTCAAATTGGATAAAGTTTGTGTAGTGGAGATCCTCCGGAAAGGGAAGTAGCATTAGCTTTATTTAGTGACTAGTCACATCCGCCACGTCGCAGTATTGTTAAACGGACCTTTGTGTCTTTTATAGGGAGAACGCTCGCCGAGCGAAAACCCACCCCGTCCTGGAACACTGCCGCCGAACTATTCGCTGGAACGGGATTAACCCGAACCACCTAGCTATCACCACGTGGAGGTTGTCCGGCTAGCCAGCCACTTGGTTCAACAATTAATTCACTACCAAGACGATTAGTCC